GCTTAGAGAGGGCTGGAAGGCCTATGAAGCGGTATATAAGTCTAACTGCTATTGCTATTATTGCTATTATTGCCTCTTGGAAGGAATGACCCGGATTGGCTCTCGCTTCATCTCTCCTGCTTTGTCTCTCTCTCTGCCTCTTTGCTTCTCCGTTCAGTCTTTGGGCAGCAGATTGAAAGCGGAAGCTCACGCTCTCCCTCACTCCCTCCCTCCCCTCCTCTTCCTCCCTCCCTTCCTCTCTCTCTCTCTCAAATGGCAAATGCGAGCAGCCGCTGCTGGGAGCCGGTCCCATGCCTTCTCCCAAACCCCGCACCCCTTCTCTCAGCTACTTCCTGCCGGATTGCTGTCTCCAGGCTGACTCTCCTCTCCTATTATCGTGGAAGGCGTCTCACAAAAACCACTGGGCGGCAGTTGGAAACTGGTGCGCGGTGTTTTGTTGCCACGTGTGCGGCCGCTCACCCGCGCACTTTAGAGGGAACAGTGCCCCAGAGACCCTCCTCAAACTTACCTCTTAGGGAGAGGGCCACGATGAGCAAGCTGAAGGTCACAAAAATGAATCTCCCCATGGTCTTCCTTCCTTCCCTGCAAAGAGAAGAGTAAAAGGGGGGAAGAGGAGGAAGGAAGGAAGGAGGAGGAGGAGGAGAGGAGGAGGAGGAGAAAAAAGAAGGAGGAGAAGAAGAGGAAGAAAGAGGAGGAAGAAGGAGAAGAGGAATAGGAAGAGAAAGTAGGAGGAGGAGGAAGGAGAAGGAGGAGAAGAAGAAGAGGAAGAAAGGAAGAAGGAGAAGAAGGGGAGGAGGAAGAAGGAGGAGGAGGAAGAAGAAGGAGGAGGAGAGGAAGGAGGAGGAGGAAGGAGAAGGAGGAAGAAAAAGGAAGGAAGAGAAGGAGGAAAAGAAGAAGAAGAAGAGGAAGAAGGAGGAAGAAGAGGAGGAAGAAGAAGAGGTGGAGAAGGAGGAGAGGAAGGAGGAGGAAGAAGGAGGAGAGGAAAAGAAAGGAGGAGGAGGAGCAAGACAAGTAGAAGAAGAAGAAAAGAAGAAGAAATGAAGGAGGAGGAAGAGGAAGAGGAAAAAGAAGAGGAAGGAGGAGGGGAAGAAAAAGGAGGAGGAGGGGGAGAGGAAGAAAAAGAAGGAGAGGAGGAGGAGAAGGAGAAGGAGAAGGAGGAAGAGGAGAAAGAGGAGAAGGAGAAGATGAAGGAGAAGGAGGAGGAGGAGGATGAGAAGAAGAAGAAGAATGAGAAGAAGAACATGGTCTTTGGGAGGGACCTCTCAGGAAAGGGGGATCCACCTCCACCAGTGACCAAGCTGGGATTCCAAAATTTGGTTTGGCAGTTTTATACCTGCCCAGCTGGTGCCAATTTCTGCCTTCCTGGATATGCAGCAGCCTTGGTGGGTCACCCTGGATTCTGCATTGCTTTTTAATGGGAAGTGGGACCTTCCTTAGAAAGGATCTCCTATGGGTCTCTCTCTCTGTCTTTCCCATTTGGATCCCCAATAGATCTCTTTTTTCCTGAGGGACCCTCCCGCAGATCCCCTGCTGCAATCAGGACATCTCCCACAGCCCCCCTGCAAGAGGTCCCTTCAGATGGAGAGAGAGAGAGACACAGGAGAGATCTGCTGCAGGGGCCTCACCTGTCAGGTGCCCACAGGTGGCAGAGCCCCACTCACCGGTCCCTTCGCCTCCACAGGTAAAAAGTCTGCTCAGTGGCAACTCCAGGCTTCCCTCCAGCAAAGGGAATGGAGGCATTTAAAGGCAAGGCCGGGGGTGGATCTGTTGGGGGGGGGATGGAGGGAAGGAGGAAATACTCTTCTTGAGAAAGGTGTGTTGGTCTAACAAACAGAATTAAGATTGATTTCCATTCTTT